GGCAGGTGGAACTCTGAGTTTAAAGCCAGCCTTGCTCAAGAGAGCTCCACGTTATCTAGGGTTACATGGTAAGACCTTGTCTCAACAACAACAATAAGAAGGATGGGAGGGTGGGAAGGAGGGGGTGGGAGGGAGGGAAAGAGGGAGGGAGGGAGGGAGGGAGGGGAGAAGGGAGGAAGGGAGGAAGGGAGGAAGAGAGAAAGGGAGGGGAGGAATAAAGAGACAGATGAAGGCAGACAGAAACAGAGGCACACACAAAACAGAGAGAGAGAGAAACAGAGACAAAGACAGAGACAGAGAGAGACAGACAGACAAACAGAAAACAAGAACAACTGAACTGGCTACATACAGAAAGTGTAATAATGCAGTTAGTTGAGAATATATACAGTGAAATGTCTTTTTTTAAAAAAAAGGCTAAAAACTGGGCACTTGTTTCAGAATTGATATAAGAAGCTAAGAACAACAGACGCTATAACAGAAGAGGCCAAAGTAGTCTGACAGGGGAGTGAGAGGGTCCCTGGATTAACATAAAAATAGTAAAGTGTCAGCAATCCAAGCACACCATTGCACTGGCAGATTGAAACTGTCCATGCATGATTCATCTGTCAATCACAGCTCCTGACCTGACATGGCAAGTATGGTGGTTCATGAGTTAATCGTAAACAATTTCTCCAAAGTTATAATTATGTACAAATAGGTATATATTAAATATTTTCCTTTTTCTAATTTCTAGGACACTTTTTGTTGGATTTTGTTATGCAATGGTAATATATTTATAGGCATATGTCAGAATTTCTCATTCATAGTAAAGTTAATCTGCTGTATTTAAATTTCAAGCAATAAAATAGTGATAGGAAAAATAGCTTTAAAACTGTTTTAAAAAATGTTAAACCTTAAGATTGCAGGGCTTATCTTTTAAGAATTTACTATTATTTTACGAAGTATCAATTCTGCTTTACTACATATGCATCTATTCAGATAGTCATAAATTTGTAACAGATCCAAAATCAATCAACCCTCAGTCTCACACACTGTGAGGCTGTGCCAGCCAATGGGGCAACTATGGAAGACACATGACAGCTTCTATCTTGGAGAAAGGATGGAACAGATTTGACCAATTAAAAACAAAGTCACAGGACAAGAGAGATGGCTCAGCGATTAAGCACACTGGTTGCTCTTGCAGCGGACCTGCGCTGGTTCCCAGCATCCACATGGCAGTTTATAATGATCCATAATTCCAGTTCCATGGGATCTGATGCCCTCTCTTGTCTTCTACGTGCACCAGGATCACATGTGGCACACATACATACATTCAGGCAAAACACGCATACCCATAAAAAGTATCTGAAAAAAGAAATGAAACGATTTTTAAACATAAAAGCAAAGCACCAAGAGTGAAAAGCAAGCAGCCCTGGTCTTCTAACATCTGCACGTTAAGGACAGAACGTTTCTGAAGATGCCCTGAAGTGCTAAAGACTGCTGTTTACAGTTTCTGCTCCCAGACTCACATTGAAATAAAGTGGCCACTGTGAGTAATGCAAGTGGAGCTGAGTGAGAATGTGAGAGACATAAGGGCTCTGGAATCATGACTGGGCTGACGGACAAATGGTGTTTCTTGGCATTGGGTCTGTCTCAGATGCAGTTTGGAAAGTTCTTTCATGCAATCACTGTCTCCTCTTATATGATGCTCTTGGAACTCTGCCAGTAAGAAGACAATGGGTCAGCTGAAGACAACAACCATGAACCCGAACCACGCCTCTCCTTTAAACTTATGGAGTCCCTGGTATTCTGATATTAACAACCAAAACTGGACTGATGCAATAGAATCAGAGCGAAGGTTCTTTTCTTTGTCTTTTCTATGGCCCTTAATATCCCTTTGGTGACAGAGAAGTACAGAAATATGTACAGCTTTTAATGGGGTTTTCCTATGCACTGTTTAATACTGTGGGTGTACGTTTTAGTAGGAATAGTTACTGAGGGAACACATTAGCAGCTCGGCACACCCTTCTGGGAAGAGCATGATGAGCCAGGCTCTGCAGATCTCTTACTTGGACTGACCTTCCCACCATTTAACACGAAGCGAGTTGTCATCTATAAGAACTATAACTGATGCAGGCCATTTCTAAACGAAAATGACTCATTTCCCAAAGCTAATCAAAACCAACGGCTTCTAACGGGCTTCAAGAGAAACCTGCGGGTGAGCCCAAATCTCCCAGCAGCACACGGATGAGATCACATATTCTAAACCACTAGCTTACTAGGAAGAATCAGAGAAACCTAGCCTGCCCCTTCACTTCTCAGATATTGTGTTGGAGTGACCAGGGAGTGTGGATGTGACCCTAGAAGTCTCCTGAAAGCCCACAAGCCACATGAATGATTCTGCCAGAAGAATCCTCTGGACTGCCTCATTGTGCTTGCAGCATCAACCACGGGTCTCACCTAATGGTGCGATGCAGTTGAGCATTTGGGTGATACTTTGAATGACAAAATGTTCATGAGTACCCCAGGCGCCACCACTGTGACTATGGAGCAGCATACTCGGCAGCTGTGCCTTGAACCCATTAGCATTATTAGCAAGGCATTCCTCACCACACACCCTAATAGTCAATTCTAGAACCGCCTACATTATTGTATATTAAAGATGTATCAAGCATATTTTAAATTAATCGACAAATAAAACAGTGACTGAAGGATACAGTGACGCCATGAAGTACTTTTTGGTAAGTCACCTGTAAAACTTCAAAAGTGCTGGCTATTCCGACAGTTATCTGCAAATTTAGCCTGGCCGTTGTTGCTATACCAGATTCCCTCTCTAAGCCCAAACGTTCAAACAGAAAACGGTGTTGTCCTGCCATCTAGTGGTTGTTTTCTAATACTGCAATGACACGTGTTGAAGATACAATAGCAAAAAAATAAATCACCCCCCCCGGCCTTTTTTTTTTATTATAATCTCTTTATTGATTCTCTGGAAATTTTACATCACGTACCCTAATTCTGCTCACCTTAAAGTCCCCCCATATCCTCCCCTCACCTTGTAGCACCCTGCCAAAAAAAAAAAAAAAAATCAAAACAAAACAAAGCAATCAAACAAACAAAAGCAAGAACAAAAAAATAAAAAATACTTCTTGATTACTTTTTCTCTTTTCCCACCTCTCCAATACCTCTTCATTCGTCCTGGTGACATTGGGAGCAATGTATCACGTGGTATACCCTTTGGCCTAAACTGACTTATTAGCAAATGTTCATTGCAGTGAGTCACTTTCTGGTTCAAGACCTCTGGTTTCTGGTGCACCAACGAAACTCCTCTGGGATATCCAGCAGCCGACCCTATGGAGGTCCTGTGGGTGTCATTCCACAGCACCAATACCTTCAGGAGCAGGTCATAGATAAGGGGAGATATTAGGTTGGGCCAATTCAAGGCCCAAAGAGGCAGGAAGAGCCCAGACTGGTCAGACAGGGCCTCTGGGGTCAGCCAGTCTCAGGAGAGGGAGTGGAGCCAGCTCTTTCCCAGGCCATCAGAATCAGTTCTCCCTTTCCTGTGCTGAGGGGTAGGGCTCTCTCTCCCAAGTGCAGGGCCAGCTCTCCTCTGAGGGTCCAGACCAGCTCTCTCGCTCCAGTGTCCAGTGAGGCAGGGCCAGCTTTCCCAGTGCCAGCCAAGAGCAGAGCTGTCTCAGCAGGGCCTCTGATTTCATCACTAAGGGTCCCTGTGGCCCTCTGAGTTGACACAGCCACAGACAGCAGCTGGACTACAGACCCAGACACGGCCCTCAGCAACAGCTTGGGCCCAGGCGACATCCTGGTTCCAGGTGGAAGTACTGGCTACTCACATCAGAATGACTTTGGCCCCAGTCCCAGGCTTCCCTATGACCTTTGGTGGCAACATGGGCCTTGGACTTCAATACAGACTCCAGTCCTTCTATTTTAAAGTCTAGAGACGGTGATTTGCTGACCTTATGGGAAAATTTACTTTAAGTAAGCAGGAGAAAAAAAAAATCAGATATAACGTATCTCAAAGGCCAACTCTTAAGTGGACTGGATTGAGAACTGTTTATATAACAATATAGAAACAATATTTCTCCATAAAGAATACAAAACAATACAGTTTTCTGAAAGGAAAATATTTTGCAACAATTAGCTTCAATCTCAAACACTGAATTTGTTTAAAAGCTTCTTAAGGGTGTTCTCTTGATTAAAGTTCAATGCAAAAAGGATGCTGTGCTTTTAATACAGGAGAGAGGAAAAAGACAAGCGGTGTTACCTTCTCATGTGCTCACACTTAGCTCTCTGCATGGACATGGACAGAAGCAAACATACAGGGTCACTTTTGGTCTGGTGGTCCCAGGATTACTGGCGCCATCTGCTGTTCAGCGATTTCTGATTTTCCCAGAATTAGGGAAATGCTCCTCACTGAGTACTGACTACAACTTCCCTCACCTATCACAAAGATTTCCCTACAATCCTCTGTTATCTTGGGATCTAAGATTACCAAAAATGCCATGTCCACACTCTGACACAAGCCCTCAGCCTACAAGGAAGCTCAACACTTGCATTAAGAATATGTTCAAGCTTCGAGTGGTGATTTTGCAATGTCTCCCACAGTCCCTGCGCCTGGTTCACCCTGAGAAAAAAGACCTGAAGTGAAGCCACTGAAGGCTATAAGGTGACAATAATGCACATGTACCAAGTAGCATAGTCATAGAGAGGAGATGCACGCAAAATATGATTTCTAAGGTATCCCTGTAGTCAGAATTTCTATCCTAGGATCTTGCTTTAAAACAGAAATGAAGCGATTTCCCCCAAAATAAGGGAAGGTTGCTGCCTGGCACACTGTTACCTGTCCTACCCCATGAGACTCTCAAGTGAAATTTTAACCTCTCTGATTGGCCACGTCGATTATGGAACCCAATTTTCCATTGATTCTGTGTTCATTCTGCAAGAGGAGTGAGCAACCTAGCACACAAAGCATTACTTATTATGTGCAGATGGACATACAGACTCACCAGACTGTTCATTTTGGAGGACGAGGACCCAGCTCTGTGCTTCCTTAAGCTGCTGGCTTCAGCGTGCCCATCCTTCGGCTTCAAGACCACTCTGCCGCCCCCTGCTGTTCCTTCAGATGAGGACCGCAGCCGCCGCTCTATATACCTTCCTTCATGATATGGGCTGAGGCTGCTGGCAAGAACTTTCCCAAGACAAATAAAGAAAAATGAATACCAACACTTACATGGAGCTTTTAATCAATGTACCATTTTAAGAGTATGAAAAACCTTAGTATGATTCAAAAGCCCTCGACCTCAGAAAAAATGTCTAAGTTTGTAGTAACAGTTTGTTTAATCCCTGTTGGAGACTCCCAGTAATGGCAGAAGCAAATCTCTCTGTCTATTACACTTGTCATTTCCTCACTAGGGCATCTGAAGCAGGACAATTGCTGCTAGTTCAAGGACAGCACCGGCTGAGGCGGGTTTTGAATTTGGCAGGCTTTCTAACTCCAAGGACTACAGTTTCATATCCTGCAATCCTTTTGTATTGACAGAATTTATTTATATCAAAATATAGATCCTAGCTAAAAGTACATCGGAAACAGAGCTGAAATTGCACAGATTTCCTTTATGAAAACTTTGTCTGAAATGCCTCCATTTTATTAACTAGCAAGTTATGCTATTACAGTCGCATTTCAAGCAGAGTCAACTTCCCCCTTCTTCACAGGTCATAATAACATAAATAATACGGCCAGGAAAAACAAGGATCACAGACTTATGCCCCCATCATAAGTGAGATAAGTTTAAAGTCAATCAAAGCAAACATTAAAAACAAATTACAAATGCAAGGGGAATGTGCCTCCACTTGAGACACAGCAAAAATAATTGATCAACTAACAGTGAAAATTAATTTACATTATTTTTGCACGATGAAATTCTGCATACCTTTGGCAGCACTTGCTTCATATCCATAAGACGTTTTGTTAAAAACATTATGATCCCCAGAGGAAGGGATTACCCTTGAATCTGAAACAGGGTGAACTCCTTTAATGCGTTCGGCCAGTGCCTTGTGTGGGTCGTAAGAGCCCAGTGTCCTGGGCGAGCTGGTCCTCAGCATTGGTTCGGTGGGTTTCTCTTCTCTTTGATGACCATGTGGTAGGTGAGTCTCTGTGTCGCTCACATTCCTAGGAGGGGATCCAGCGCTTTGCGGCAACACTTCCCTCTGGTTAGCTGCAGAGATCTCCGGTAAAGAACGCAATTCAGTGCCACAGCGGCCATCTAGCCTATACCTCCCAGGAGACATCCTCATACAGGGCACAGTTCCTACAAACTCCATCGTGGTCTTTGTGATTGCAGCGAGATTGGGGGTGGGCTGAGAGGTAGCATCATTGTGACCAAAGTTGTCGCAGTGCAATGCCATACTTCCACTTTTAGGAAAGGCATCTGCCTCAGACAAAGAGTCTTCAGTCAAGGCCAAGAATTCTGAAGGGGTCTGAGCTGTGGTCAAATCCGTGGAAAGCAGAGGCGACTGTAAGGAACTTCCTGCATGCTCCGTTATATCCACAGAGCAAGACGGGGAAGGTCTCCCTACTTCCAGTTCCCGCTCCTGGTACTGTGCAATCGCCAGAGAAAACTCGGGCTGCTGTACCAATGGCCTGGATTGGCTCTGTGGAACCGACTTAGAAAATTTAGAGTGAGACGAAAATGATTTGGGGAGTAGCTTCTTTGTTGATTGTTTAAGAGAACGGCGAGTTTGTTCTTCTGTGAATCCAGAATCATCCCCTTCACTTCTGCCAGAACTTAGACAATTTATAAAGACATTCTTATTAGTTGAAGGTTCCTTTTCTCTTTCAAAATCTTCCGTCAGAGATCTTGTTATCTTCTTACTTCGTGAACTACTAAAACCCACAGAATGTCTTCCCCTGGTTTTGACTTGCTCCTCCAAACTGAGTTTCTGCATATTGCTGAGAGTGGGTTGAGCACCATTGGAAATACTAAGGTTCTGGTCGGTGGGTTCTGGCTTAGGTTCACTCCCCTTCTTGTGGTGGAAGCTGATGGATGGAGCCCGGAAGATGCTCCTGCGTTTCCCCACGCTCCCTGAGCTGGAGTTGGTGCTGGAAGGCGAGGAGCTGTGGACACCAGCTGTGTTTCCAGAAGAGGGTGAAGAAGGGAGAGAGTCATGCCTTCTGCTAATACTTTTTCTGAATATTGGCAACCGGGAGACCAGGGTACATCGTCTTGATCCTGAGTCCCCCATTGGGAACCCGGGGCTTACACTGTGATAGCCTGGGAAAAGGAAAAACAAAGAAAGTAAGTCAATATAATTCAGTCTTGACCGGAACCCGGTTAAGCAAAATACAGCTTTTCAAGAAAAAGAATGAAATTTGCTTTATACTACAATAATAGCGTGCCAAAATTCAGAATTTAAGAAAATAGAAAATTATTCACAAACTTGTATTAAAATCTTACTTTGAATCAAAAGCTTTGGAAATTACCACAAATACTTAGTCTACTAAAAAGAATGCAAGGTTTGAAAACACAAGGTCTTTATTTAAGTCTGCTTTTAAATTTTGATATATTATTAAATCTAAATTTTTATGCTTAAATATATCCATGTTTAGTACCATGTGGCTCACTGGATGATCTATGCAGCTTAACAGAAACAGAGATCAGTGATAAGCCAGGCATTAGGATCTGCACTCATGAAAACCAATTGGAGCGAATTCTGTGGTGGAAGCTGATGGAGGGACCCCGGAATATGCTCCATGGTGTCCGGCACAGGAAGCTTAGGAATGATCAGAATGTGGACCAAAGAAACTGTCACACAGATGTAAGGAAGAGTTAGAGGTGAGGGAAGCCGACTATGAGCTAAAGGAAAAACTAGATGAAAAACTCAAAGTGTCACTAATCTTGAGGGTAGCAACGAGGAACCAATCAGAAATACAGGATCCTTATGACCAGATTTCTGTTAGTGCATCTGGGTGCCAGTGAAGAAGAAGGAGGAAGAGGGGGTGGAAATGTGGCTACTATAATCCTTTTTGATGCAGAATAATTTCTCAGAGATGACATCTTTTTTTTAGAACCATAGAAGTTAAGTAGTAATGTTTTGGGGCATTTCACAGTACAAGGAAAGGTAACTTGGTAATGTCACAAGCTAATGAAGCCAAACCAGAATAAGAAACCGAGCCTTCTCTACCCCAAGGCTGGCTTATGGCCAATACAGCATACAGGATGCCTTCATTCTCTGGAGTGAATAGCAGGGAGCTGCTGGCATGTTCCCAGTGCAGAGACTGTTCCACAATCAGTCTTACTTAAACTTACACATTCGGTCTCTCTGTCTTGGTACTGTTGCTTACCATAGATTTTCGTGATATAGCACAGTTGGCTCCTGCTTTGGTTTGATAAAAGCCTCATTATTCCATTTTTCTTTACAGTTGAATGATACTCCATAGGTTTCTGCCACTGCTGCTGGCTATCCACCCTAACGAGATCCTATTGCTGAAGACACCACACACTTTGGTTGTAGGATATAAAGAAATCAAATGGGAACTGACCTGGAAACTTCCTTCCTGTTTTCTGCCAAAAGGTACTGTGCATGGCATTAAGAGGGGAAAGCAATAAATGCTCTAACCCAGTTGTAAACACCCTGGGATGCTACAATAGTGGCCATCCAGGCCAGATATGCTCACTGATTCAATAACAACATGCATGTTATGGATGTAACTAAGCACTTTCTAATTGTATTTGAGGCCTGTTACACAGCGGGTAACTCAGAACTGGTTCCGTAAATCTTGTCAGAAGCACATGGTTAAGGAAATCATGGGCCCTAGAGTGAAACTAAACAGTTTTGCTAAATGAATATCTTATAATTGCTGCCAAAATATTAACATCATTGACATAAATATATATATATATATATATATATATATATATACATCTCAAGATATTTTTGGACTTTTCTTTAGCATTTTTTGTTTAAATCAGCACTCAACTGAAAGACTAACTCAACTCTAGGTCACCTTAGCAAGTATCCAAAAAATTTATATGTGGAAATTTTTTCAGAATATCTTTTATAGTAAGTAACCTTCTCTTAACTACTTAATGTAAACAATGAGACTTCCACTGGGCCAGTGTGGAGCATATAGGTTACTCTCATTGGTTCGTTAATAGGTTACTCTCATTGGTTTGTTAAGAGGAACTCTGTCCTTGAGTAGAAATAAAATCTATTAAAAATAAAAGATTCTTTACACTTCACTTCACCGTACATAAAGTCTTGTTTCCTGCTCGAAATAATAAATGGCAGAGAGATAAGCTACCTATAGCTCATACTTCCCACAGTCTTGAGAAAAGCTGTGTGACCTGGCAGCTGTGTGCAGCCCCAGATCCATCCTTCTAGTGCACAGCACTCTTTTCTGTTCCTACCTTCATCCTCTGTACGGCCATGACTGTGTCTGCTTGCTTAGTTCTTCCATTAATTAAGAAGACCCTAACATGGAATGGATTCCCAATTGGGTAGTTTTGCTTCAAACATATCAATATTTCAAACATAAATAAATATAACGAGCTATACTTTTCTCAGAAGCTTATCACAAATCTTTCAAGTTTTGAAAACCATGTATCTCAAAACCCTGCTTACCTGAGACATATGCACAATAATGCTATAATGTTGCACAAATTGGCTACACCTCCATCTCATCACTGTTGGAAAGCATTGCTGGCTGGTCGAGGCTGCAGTCTCTCATGGCTGACAGCTTTTCCCAAAAGCTGGGCAACACAGGAACTCCCTCCCTTCCCAGCAAAATTTCCAGCTCTTTACCTACCCTTATCTGGAGAATATCCTTGGGCCTGGAGGACAGACCTCATCTGAAAACTGTCTCTAAGCCAGAGGCCTCACTTATCTTTATCTTGATCCTTGGCCACAGATTCCTGCTAGAAATCTCCCTTTCTCCACGAGTGAGCGATTACTAAGACTTGTGCTAGGAACTTTCTGATAGGACTGTGCCTCTTAATACAAATTAGGGTTTGCTCCCAGGTTCTCCAATCTTATATATTCCTTACCCTCTGGAATAAAGCTGAGCTGATTCACTGAAGCCTGTCCCCAAGAGGGCTGTCTTTGTCATATACACTACTGCCATAACGCTGTTCCCCGCTGCTGCTGCCTCCACCCTGTGAGCCAATGCAGTCAACGCTTCTGAGGTGGAAAAGGAGCCACACATCACATCGCTCTCATACACAAGAGGTGTGCTCTAAGACTGGCATAGTATTCTCATCCCTCTTCACTACATTATAATCACAACGGTAACCTTGTAATTCGTTAATGAAATTTCCATATTTTGTTTTTATGCACTTCAAAGTAAGAGAAACATCTTTCTCCACTGCTTTGCTTTATCAAGCGGGGGTGGGGTACATTAAGAGCTGGTATATACATCCTATAAAATGCATGGAAGTCAGAAAACTACTTTGGGGGATTGATCTCCTCCTTCTAATATGGGTTCTAGAAACTGAATCAGATTGTCAGACTTTCAGGGAAGTGCTTTTACACTGGGGAAGTGTTTTTACACTGACCCACCTCTCAGACTCTCTTTTCTGAATTATTGTCTAATCTTTCTTAACCAAAAAGTTACTGGAAATGTATAGAGTGAAGCCTGTTGTCCAGGGGCTTCAATTATCAATTATCAAAAGAATTATTAACTTTAGATTAAAAAAAACAAATTACATACATTAGAAATACTCCTTTACAAAGGTTTAATTGACAATCATTTAAAAAAAAACTGTGATCTCCAAGACAACCTATGTAAATCATCATAAGCATGAACTAGAACAATAGGAATGATCATTTCATAGAGGCTGGGAAGATGACCCAGTTAACCCAGCTTACTGAACCCAGGTTCAGTCCCCAGCACTCACATCAGCTCACAGCTGCCTGTAGTTCCAACCTAAGGGATCGGACACACTCTTCTGGCCTTCAATACTGTCGCACATGTAGTACACATACAGAGAAACCTACACAAATGCATACAAACCAAGAAAAATAAAGAACTCTTGAGAATTTACTTCATAGGAACTTCTCTAGTGATGAGGTGATACCACACTAAAATTCGTAGACTTCCTGCCACAGGGCACATATTCAGCCTCCAGTGTTGTGATGCTGTGATGTTGTGATGCTAGGCTATATTCAATCATCATGTCGCTTTTCTGTGGATACATATTTAAAAAATGCTTCATCTGCCCTCTTACCTAAACAGGAAAATAATGGAAGTATTTTGAACATATTTATATCACAACTACAACACAGACAACGGTCACTTCTGTCAGTTGGACCAGTGAAGACACCAACGGTTGTACTTCAGGAATGACAGATGTGGACCAAACAGGTTATCAAGCACAGAACAAGAGTGAGATTATTCACCTAGGAATGCTGGGGTCAGGATTCATATCACTGAAATTAAGTGCTTAATTAATCAATTATTAAAATTGTACATAACTAGCCATTGTGAATATATTATGTTATTCCTAAGGAAGATAATACAAAAAGTATCACTTGCATAAGAAATAATAGCTCCTTAAAATGATTTCACCACAGGGCCAGCTATATGAGAAAATCAGACTGCTGCAATTAGCTTTGTAGAAAACAATCTTACAGTCAAGTTAAAAGAACAGAGCAAAATTAACATAATGAGACAGAGCAAAAAGGGAGAATACACTTCAAAGTACTAGCTCTGGTGAGACTGCACAACAGAGAAAAATCTGAACTGGTAGGACATTATATTTAGAAAAAGTAAAACTGACACCACCATCGTACATGATCATAGCTCTTGATTGTCTTCTAAGACAATAAAAATACAAGACAAAGGGAAAAAAAAGGAGTTTGGCTGGAGATGGGTTAGCCTGGGTGTGAACTCAGGCCTGCATTCGGATCTCTGTGATCTAACTCCTCCCAGAGCCTAAAATTTTCCATGGAGATAAGAAGATCTGCTGCCTGAAGGAATTGTTGTGTGGAGCAGGAAAAGAAAAGGAGAGGAAGGAGAGCAGGGAAGGGGGAGGGGGAAGAGGGGGGGAGGAGCGGAACAGAAACTCAACAAAGCTGCAGACCTCTGTAACAAATTCATCCTAGTGACTTAGCATGCTGGTGCTGAAGGGATGATTCTCCTTCAATCTGTGACATCCCCAAGTTCTTTCACCCAGACATTCTAACCAGTTCATACCTGTTTTAGAATGTCTGTTGACCTAACCCGAATCACCACAGAAAGGGTGTCATAGGCTGAGAGACTTAAGGGCCACGGG